CCGTTGCCTCCGAACTAGGGAACGGAAACCGGGTGAACTTGGCTTGAATGCACGTCGGGCAGCCAAGCACCTCATCGGGCTCCCCCTTCACACGTATGCCAGCAACCACCTCATTCTTCACTAGCTGCTGCAAGATGGGCAGGGCCACATGCCCCATGCGCCGATGCAAGGTGAGCCAATCACACTCCCCCGTAGCCGAAGTTGGATTGGAGAATGCCGCGCTCGCAATAGCGCCCCACATACTCTCTCCGTAGTCCTCCTCCGCTGCTGCCTCTGGGTTCTCCTCACCCTTTTGCTGCTCCTTGGTTGCTGCACCACTCTCCTTAGGTTCACTGAACTTGCTGGTCCCTCCAGGTTTGCTCTTCTTGAGCTGATTCTCCTTAGCGCGACCGTTCGCGCCATCGTCGCTACCGACCGCTCCATCCTTGGTGCTGATGCTTGCTGCCACTTGCCTCTCCTTAGGCATAGGGACCACTGGGATCTGCCACATCTCGTTGTAGACATCCCTGTCCTCATGAAGGTCCCAAAGAATTCGATCGCCAAGCCTTGCGGTGTAGGTCTTGGCTCCCTTCGAGTTCGTGTCCATGCCGGCCTTTGCCAACCGCCGCACGGAAATCAGGTTTGCAGCAAGGCTGGGCACCCAAAGCACGTTCTTGAGGCCCACCATCTTCCCATAAGCACCCTTGAACATGGCCTTGCCCATGCCTTTCACCTCTGCTCGCTGCCCCAAAGCCGATGTGACATGCTTCACCGGTGACGGCTCGAGTTCGGTGAGCAAGTCCGGGCGAGGTGTCATGCTATAGGTAGCGCCACTATCAATCACCCAATAGTCCAGGGGGTGTAGGGTCACCTTCCCCACAGCTGCTGGCTCCTCAAAGCCTTCATCCTTCTCTGGACCAGCCGGTACTTGCGTCGACACGAAGTAGAATAGACCCGGGTATCGATCGTCGTTCGGGTCCTTGTCGTTGTCTCCGCTCTTCATGTTTGCAGCTCCGCCACCGCGACCGCCACGGCCTCCACGGCCTCGTCCTCTCCCTCCTCCTGCTCCTCTACCCTCTTGGCCTTGAGCAGGGGTCCAACCATCAGGGAGTTTGTAGCAGTGGCGCCACATGTGTCCGCTCTTGTGGCAATAGTGACACTCGCCGTCGAATCGGCCGCGACCGCGTCCGTAGCTCTTGTCGTCGCTGCCGTAACCGCCACTCCTGCGGCCTCCGCCGAAGTTGCTGCCACCAAACCTTCCTCCCCCTCGTGCTCTGCCTCTTCCTCGACCATATCCACGGCCGATGCTCGCTGCCCCAGCGCCATCCGCACTCGCCAACTCACGGCGGCGGAAATCCTCTTGAAGGATAGCTCGCTTCACGTCTTCAAGCGAGAGGCGGGGCAAATCGCGATTAAGGTTGATGATGAGCGAGGACCATGACTCTGGAAGTAAGGCCAGCAACTTGGTCTTCTTTTGGAGCTCACTGTAGTTCAAATCAGCTCCCTCAAGCCGCGTCAACAAGTCGAAGAATTTCTGCACCCCTTCTTCAACCGCTTCGTTTTCTTCAATTCGTAGTGCCGCCATTTGCCGTTCCAACACCACCGCTACCGCCGCTGTTGCAGGAGCATGTACACCCTTGAGAGCAGCCCATGCCTTTGGTCCCTTCTCTGGTTCACGCTGGAATGGTTTGATGTGACGGATCTGGCTGCTCCCCAACGCTTGCCCAAGTAGGAGATAGCCTTGTGCGCTCTTCCGCACCCACGGGCTCTTCTCCGGGTCGTTCTTGGGGCGCTTCTCCGTTCCTTCCATCACCTCCAGCAGGTCATAGTGGTCAAAGATGTTCTCCATCTTGAAGGACCATTCAGCAAAGTTGTCACCGTTGAACTTGTCAAGCCCAAACACCCTAGGCTCATCCCTAGGTGGGCCAAGACTTGGTTGCATGGGCGCCATGGCTGAATCACGGGGTTGGCCTTGAGCTTGAGCTTCTCCACTGCCACCAGCACCTCTGCCACCCCTTTCCTCAGGTCCAGACATTGTCGAAACTGCTCCAAGGGCCTCTGATACCACTTGTTATAGTCACAATAGGCTTGAATGTGCCTAAAACGAAAGATAGAGAGCACAGACGGATTTCTGCACAGCGGCTTCAAACGTTGATAGCGTTCTGCTCACAGCTGCAAATGACTTGATTCAAATTGGATCTGGAGCGTCTTGACGTCGCCTACAATAAGAAATTTAGATTGCACGATTTCATAAAGAATTGACGACACAGCGTCGGTTTGAACGAACGGTACTATGGCAGCCACTATAGTCTTAGAACACAAGATAGGAAGAGTTACGAGTTGGGAGTGACTCCCAGCTCCTACAAACCCCAAGAGCCGAGGTACAGTGATGTGGAACAGTGCCACACTGTCCCCAACCACGAAGGGTCTCGAAACTACCCTTCACTAGGGCCTACACAAGTGAAATGTTACACTACACAAAGTAATGTAGCTATCTTCAATATCTTGAGGTGTACCCTTTTTGGCGAGCTTCGAAATCACTTGAGGCTTGACACCAAGGCTCGGGCTCTTCATCACAAACTCATCCTTGAGTTCTTGATGGGTCTGCTGCACACACCTGCGACACGCCGAACGTTCGACACAGGACAAAATAGAAACCGCGCACGACAAAATAGAAACCGCGCGCGAGACACAAACGACCGCGTAACACGCGTCTAGCGATAACTCGCTATTGACTCGACACACACACTCGACATCATGACTCAACATTCACACACAATTATAAGCATGAAATATATATTATCCCATGCCCTCATACCATTCCATACACACACACATTCACGCACACGGACAACAAGCCGAGTGCAAACCGTAGGGTTGCACCAACAGCGCAGGGGTCCATGCATCAGCGATTTTGTAGCAATCGCGTTACATATGTCCGTTCTTGTGGCAATAGTGGCACTCACCGTCGAATCGGCCGCGACCGCGTCCGTAGATATTGTCGTCGCTGCCGTATCCGCCACTCTTGCGGCCTCCGTTGCTGCCTCCAAACCTTCCTCCTCCTCGTCCTCTGCCCCTTCCATGGCCATATCCATGGCCAATGCTTGCTGCCCCGGCGCCATCCGCACTCGCTAACTCACGGCGGCGGAAATCCTCTTGTAGGATCGCTCGCTTCACGTCTTCAAGTGAGAGGCGAGGCAAGTCACGATTGAGGTTGACGATGAGCGAGGACCATGACTATGGGAGTAAGGCCAGCAACTTGGTCTTCTTTTGGAGCTCACTATAGTTCAAATCAGCTCCCTCAAGCCGCGTCAACAACTCGAAAAATTTCTGCACCCCTTTTACAACCGCTTCGTCTTCTTGAATTCGTAGTGCCGCCATTTGCCGTTCCAAGACCACCCCTACCGCCGCTGTTGCAGGAGCATGTACACCCTTGAGAGCAGCCCATGCCTTTGGTCCCTTCTCTGGTTCACGCTGGAATGGCTTGATGTGACGGATTTGGCTGCTCCCCAATGCTTGCCCGAGTAGGAGATAGCCTTGTGCGCTCTTCCGCACCCACGGGCTCTTCTCCGGGTCGTTCTCGGGGCGCTTCTCCATTCCTTCCATCACCTCCAGCAGGTCATAGTGGTCAAAGATGTTCTCCATCTTGAAGGACCATTCAGCGAAGTTGTTGCCGTTGAACTTGTCAAGCCCAAACACCCTAGGCTCATCCATAGGTGGGCCAAGACTTGGTTGCATGGGAGACATGGTGGGATCACAGGGTTGGCCTTGAGCTTGGGCTTCTCCACTGCCACCAGCACCTCTGCCAACCTTTTCCTCAGGTCCAGACATTGTCGAAACTGCTTCAAGGGGCTCTGATACCACTTGTTATTGTCACAATAGGCTTGAATGTGCCTAAAACGAAAGATAGAGTGCACAGATGAATTTCTGCACAGCGGCTTGAAACGTTGATAGCGTCCTGCTCATAGGTTTAAATGCATTGCTATAAATTGGATCTGGAGTATCGTAACATTGCCTACAATAGGCAATTTACATCACACGATTTCATCAAGTATTGATGACGCAACGTTGGTTTGAACGAACGGCACTATGGCAGCCACTATAGACTTAGAACACAAATTAGGAAGAGTTACGAGTTGGGAATGACTCCCAGCCTCTTCAAACTCCAAGAGCCAAGGTACAGTGATGTGGAACAGTGCCACACTGTCCCCAACCACGAAGGGTCTCGAAACTACCCTCCACAAGGGCCTACACCAAGGGAAATGTTACACTATACAAAGTAATGTAACTATTCTCACTATCTTGAAGTTTACCCTTTTGGATAGCTTCGAAATCACATGAATCTTGACACCAAGGCTCTGGTTCTTCAAGATAAGTTCTTCCTTGATTTCTTGGAAGTCTGCTGCGCACACCTGCGACACGCCAAACGTTCCACACACGACAAAATAGAAAAACGCACACGACACGCAAACGACGACGTGACACGCGACTAGCGATAACTCGCTATTGAATCGACACACACATTCAAAATCATGCCTCATCATTCACACACTATTGTAAGCATGAAATATATATTATCTCATGCCCTCATACCATTCCATGCACACACTCATGCACGCATACGGACAACAAGCCGAATGCAAACCGTAGGGTTGCACCAACAACTTCAGTATGTGCGGCGGGCATCGGTGCTGGCGCTGACGACAGCAGCGCACAACAAGCCATGGATGGTGAAGGACCTTCTGCCAGAGTTGGTGCCGCTGCTGTACGACAAGATGCGGGTCAAGGTGCGCGCTGATTCTAGTTAGTGTATGGATGGACAGGGTGTGTGGGGCAGGGTTGGTGGAGGACCTCTTTTAGATTCTTACTACGGAGAGAGGGAGGCTCTGGTTTTTTTTCCCTTTCAATAGAGTGAGTCATGATTTTGGTCTGTTACTTGCTTCATCACCCACCTACTCTCCTGCCACATGCAGCATGAGATGATCTGGACCATTGATCTGGGCTCATTGAGCACACAATAGATGATGGCCTGGAGCTGCGCAAGGCAGCGTTTGACTACATGGACACTTCCACTCCACCTGTCTCCACCGCATCCAACCGCGGCCGCCTTCATCACCCCCTTCCTCATCTCTGGACTCTCGGGTACGTTTACCCCCTTGACACATCAAGTCGTCTGTACGCCCCGTTCCCTTCTCTGAATCTCTTTCCTTTTCTCATCGCTCCCCTCCCCTCGCCTCCCCTCCCCTCCCCTCATCTCCCCATTCCTTCCGTCTCCTCCCCTCCCGTCGCCCCCCAACCCCCCTCCATCCGTTATTACCATGGGGTGCAGACAACTACGATGTGAAGATGCCATGCCACCTGGTGCTGGCGAAGCTGGCAGAGAAGTGCGTGCCATCAGTGCTGGCAGTGGTGGATGCACTGGTTGACCCCTTAGAGAAGATTGTGACAACACGAGTGAAGGCGGACGCCGTGAAGCAGGAGGTGGACCGCAACGAGGACATGATCCACAACACCCTGCGTGCCGTGCATGCGCTGTCCCGCGTCAGGTGAGTGCTGTGCATGCGCCTTCCTGAATTAGGCGAGATGTGCTTGCTTGGATTAGGTGTGTAGCGTGGCAGGAAGCATGTGCGTGGTGTCATGGTGAGGACTGCAACGATGCTGTGAAGCAGGAGGTGGACCGCAATGAATTCGCGGCGCCCTGCGCGCCGTGCATGCACTCTCACGCATGAGGTGAGTGGTGTGGGATCAGCAAATTTGTGTTGGAGAAATAGGAGTGATGTGGGGGTGAGCAATGTACCAGGGAGTATGCTGGAAGCAATAAGGGGGCAAAGTTGAGCCCTTGCCATTTTCTGACCTGCCCTTTGCAAAGCCTTCACTCACTCCCTCCCTCTGCCTTCGCCAATGAATATATTTACACACACACATTATCACCTTTGCTTTCCATTCCCTCCTCCCTCCATCCCTGCTCCGCCCCGTCCCCATGGCACAAGCAGCAACATGGATTCCTCAACTCGCTTCAAGACATTCATGACCAATGCGGTTAGAGCGGGGCATGTGGGAAACCTGTACAATCAGATCAGACCCGAGCAGGATTCTGTTGCTGGCAGCAGTCGTGCGGAGCTATGATGACATCCCTGCAGATGAAGGGAATTATCATATGTTTTGGTCGTCCAAGTGATCTGTTCTAGAAGCGTTTTGATGCACCACACGGTTGTTTGTGCTGGTTTGTGCACTGGCATAGGCATACGTTAGTTTGAGAATATGCCACGAGGATGGACCTTATGGTGCCCTAACATGGATAACGTAGCTGAGCAATCAGCTTGCTTTTATGTGATGTTGCAACACACCGTATACGATGGTTGAAACAGTTCTAGGTGAATGAACATATGGGGAGAGGTAACAATGTGCGGGCATTTTGAAGTCTAATAGAATAACCTAATACTATATCGCGAAACCGTGTTTCTGTTGGTGATTACACTTGGGAACCCGCTCGGGAATAATCTGAGTATGTATGATGTTGGCCGTTCAAGTTGCCTTGCCTTGCCTTGCCGCCTTGCCCAGCAAGACTTTCTTGCTCACGAATTGAACAGAACTCTATTGATAGGATAGCCCAGCAAGTCAGCCGACCATGGCTGTGCTTGTGCAATTCAAAATGCTCGTGTCACATTCTAGCTAGCTTGATTGCTGGAAGTTATTTACTTATCTGGTAGAAGTAACCTTGTGTTACTTCACTGCACATCACACCGTAGTTTGCAGCCCTGACAACCTGAGAGACGAACGATTAACTCCTAAGGACCAATGCGCTTGTAGTTTTGTCTTAGCTCTCTGCAAACGACGGTTCGGTATTTGTTAAACTTAAGATTCACAACTCGGGTGGAATGATGGCGGCTTCCAAGGGGAACACCTTGGTGGTAGCGGCTGTGCTGCTGCTACTGGCGGGTAACGCCTTGCCGTGCGCGGGTCAGGACACGAGCCTGCAGCAGTGCTTCTGGCCGCTCGAATTCTCGGAGTGTAAGCTCGCTAGCGCAGGATAGGCTTTCCTTCACGCAATGTTGGCTTCGTTTCGCGCAGTGTCGGCTTCTTTTCTCAGTATTATCATGCAATATCAATTTCTATTCTCTTCAATGTCGCTTTGATTGTTCAGTATTTCACACATGTTGCTTCGTTTCTCGGTATTCTCGCAATGGTCTAGCGCAATTTCACCTCAATTCTGCCACCCTCTCATGCACTCACTAACAATAACGTTCCTCATCTGATGCTTGGCAGCGCGAAGTCTAACAGGTGTGGCATTGAGTCTGGATAAATTTCCGTACGACCTAGCTGACGTCACCACCTGCGTCAATCTCGGCCTCACTTGCAGTGACAGTGGCTATGTCACTCAAATGTCAGTGATACTACTGCTGCTGCTCATGCTGGTGCTGATCCCCATGTTAGGGTAGCAGGAAGAGTACGAGATGCTAGGGAATGACGCTTTCTTGCCTTACTCCTCGCTTTTGCGCGCGCAGCAATTGGCGGAACAAGGCGATACAAGGGGAGCTGCCTCCATACATTTTCGAGCTGACGCACCTTGAACACCTGTGAGGGTCCGCGTTTGAAGCACATTGAATACCTGAGAGTGTTCACGTTTGAAGCACCTTGAATGCCTGTGAGGGTCCGCATTTGAAGCACCTTGAACACTTGTGAGGTTCCGCGTTTGAAGCACCTTGAATGCCTGTGAGGGTCCGCGTTTGAAGCACCTTGAATGCCTGTGAGGGTCCGCGTTTGAAGCACCTTGAATGCCTGTGAGGGTCCGCGTTTGAAGCACCTTGAATGCCGGTGAGGGTCCTCGTTTGAAGCACCTTGAATGCCTGTGAGGGTCCGCGTTTCAAGCAACTTGAATGCCTGTGAGGGTCTGCGTTTGAAGAACCTTGAATGCCTGTGAGGGTCCGCATTTGAAGCACCTTGAATGCCTGTGAGGGTCCGCGTTTCAAGCACCTTGAATGCCTGTGAGGGTCCGCGTTTCAAGCACCTTGAATGCCTGTGAGGGTCCGCGTTTGAAGAACCTTGAATGCCTGTGAGGGTCCGCATTTGAAGCACCTTGAATGCCTGTGAGGGTCCGCGTTTCAAGCACCTTGAATGCCTGTGAGGGTCCGCGTTTGAAGCACCTTGAATGCCTGTGATGGTCCGCGTTTCAAGCACCTTGAATGCCTGTGAGGGTCCGCGTTTCAAGCACCTTGAATGCCTGTGAGGGTCCGCGTTTGAAGCACGTTGAATGCCTGTGAGGGTCCGCGTTTGAAGCACGTTGAATGCCTGTGAGGGTCCGCGTTTGAAGCACCTTGAATGCCTGTAAGGGTCCGCGTTTCAAGCACCTTGAATGCCTGTGAGGGTCCGCGTTTCAAGCACCTTGAATGCCTGTGAGGGTCCGCATTTGAAGCACCTTGAATGCCTGTGAGGGTCCGCGTTTGAAGCACCTTGAATGCCTGTGAGGGTCCGCGTTTGAAGCACCTTGAATCGTTTGAAGCACCTTGAATGCCTGTGAGGGTCCGCGTTTGAAGCACCTTGAATGCCTGTGAGGGTCCGCGTTTGAAGCACCTTGAATGCCTGTGAGGGTCCGCGTTTGAAGCACCTTGAATGCCTGTGAGGGTCCGCGTTTCAAGCACCTTGAATGCCTGTGAGGGTCCGCGTTTGAAGCACCTTGAATGCCTGTGAGGGTCCGCGTTTGAAGCACCTTGAATGCCTGTGAGGGTCCGCGTTTGAAGCACCTTGAATGCCTGTGAGGGTCCGCGTTTGAAGCACCTTGAATGCCTGTGAGGGTCCGCGTTTGAAGCACCTTGAATGCCTGTGAGGGTCCGCGTTTCAAGCACCTTGAATGCCTGTGAGGGTCCGCGTTTGAAGCACCTTGAATGCCTGTGAGGGTCCGCGTTTGAAGCACCTTGAATGCCTGTGAGGGTCCGCGTTTGAAGCACCTTGAATGCCGGTGAGGGTCCTCGTTTGAAGCACCTTGAATGCCTGTGAGGGTCCGCGTTTCAAGCACCTTGAATGCCTGTGAGGGTCCGCGTTTGAAGAACCTTGAATGCCTGTGAGGGTCCGCGTTTGAAGCACCTTGAATGCCTGTGAGGGTCCGCGTTTCAAGCACCTTGAATGCCTGTGAGGGTCCGCGTTTGAAGAACCTTGAATGCCTGTGAGGGTCCGCGTTTGAAGCACCTTGAATGCCTGTGAGGGTCCGCGCTTCAAGCACCTTGAATGCCTGTGAGGGTCCGCGTTTGAAGCACCTTGAATGCCTGTGAGGGTCCGCGTTTCAAGCACCTTGAATGCCTGTGAGGGTCCGCGTTTCAAGCACCTTGAATGCCTGTGAGGGTCCGCGTTTGAAGCACGTTGAATGCCTGTGAGGGTCCGCGTTTGAAGCACCTGGAATGCCTGTGAGGGTCCGCGTTTCAAGCACCTTGAATGCCTGTGAGGGTCCGCGTTTGAAGCACCTTGAATGCCTGTGAGGGTCCGCGTTTCAAGCACCTTGAATGCCTGTGAGGGTCCGCGTTTGAAGCACCTTGAATGCCTGTGAGGGTCCGCGTTTGAAGCACCTTGAATGCCTGTGAGGGTCCGCGTTTGAAGCACCTTGAATCGTTTGAAGCACCTTGAATGCCTGTGAGGGTCCGCGTTTGAAGCACCTTGAATGCTTGTGAGGGTCCGCGTTTGAAGCACCTTGAATGCCTGTGAGGGTCCGCGTTTGAAGCACCTTGAATGCCTGTGAGGGTCCGCGTTTGAAGCACCTTGAATGCCTGTGAGGGTCCGCGTTTCAAGCACCTTGAATGCCTGTGAGGGTCCGCGTTTCAAGCACCTTGAATGCCTGTGAGGGTCCGCGTTTGAAGCACCTTGAATGCCTGTGAGGGTCCGCGTTTGAAGCACCTTGAATGCCTGTGAGGGTCCGCGTTTGAAGCACCTTGAATCGTTTGAAGCACCTTGAATGCCTGTGAGGGTCCGCGTTTCAAGCACCTTGAATGCTTGTGAGGGTCCGCGTTTGAAGCACCTTGAATGCCTGTGAGGGTCCGCGTTTGAAGCACCTTGAATGCCTGTGAGGGTCCGCGTTTCAAGCACCTTGAATGCCTGTGAGGGTCCGCGTTTCAAGCACCTTGAATGCCTGTGAGGGTCCGCGTTTCAAGCACCTTGAATGCCTGTGAGGGTCCGCGTTTCAAGCACCTTGAATGCCTGTGAGGGTCCGCGTTTCAAGCACCTTGAATGCCTGTGAGGGTCCGCGTTCGAAGCACCTTGAATGCCTGTGAGGGTCCGCGTTCGAAGCACCTTGAATGCCTGTGAGGGTCCGCGTTTCAAGCACCTTGAATGCCTGTGAGGGTCCGCGTTTCAAGCACCTTGAATGCCTGTGAGGGTCCGCGTTTCAAGCACCTTGAATGCCTGTAAGGGTCCGCGTTTGAAGCACCTCGAATGCCATGCCTGTGAGGGTCCGCGTTTAAGGCACCTCGAATGCCATGCCTGTGAGGGTTCGCGTTTGAAACACCTCGAATGCCATGCCTGTGAGGGTCCGCGCTTGAAGCACCTCGAATGCCATGCCTATGAGGGTCCGCGTTTGAAGCACCTTGATTGCCTGTGAGAGTTCGCGTTTGAAGCACCTTGAATGCCATGCCTGTGAGGGTCCGCGTTTGAAGCACCTTGAATGCCTATGAGGGTCCGTG